TGTGTGTGTGTGTGTGTGTGTGTGTGTGTGTTTGTGTGTGTGTGAAATCTCTATAGATAGAACCATCTGATTAGTATCCCTTGGATACTGAGATACTAGAATATCCAGAACTGAAATGACAGTAAATATTCTGGCATCATTTTGCTTTAATTAAACATAAGCAATTCTTGCACCAGTGGATTATTTCATTTTACTGTGAGGACTTTGATCTCCTTTTGAAAACTCTTGTGGAAATCACTTTGAAGTTTGTCTGCCTTATGTGCAATGGGATGGAAACTGGACAGGGAACATTGGATGAGTTTTTCTAGCTCTTCTTCAATTGTAGTATTAGGATTCTACCTGAAGTACAGGCTCCTTTATTTCATCCAGTTCATACTGCTATGGTTTGGATCTAAAATGTGTCCCCAAAGTCTCATGTGTTCATTTAGAGGTGGGGCTTTGGGGAATTACTGGATCTTGGGGGCACTCTACTCATCAGTAGGCTGATCCATTGATAAGTCTGTAGCTGGTGTGCTGTTAGGAGGTGAGGTCTGCTTGAGGCAGTTGTTGGGGCGTGAGCTGGAAGGTGTATTATCTCCGATCCTTCCTTATCTCTCCTTCCTTGCTGCTATGAAGTGAGCAGCTCTTCCACCTTGTACTTTCCACCATGCTGGTTCTGCTTTGGAGCTGCTAACCATGGACTGAACCCACTCAAACTGTGAATGAAACAAACCCCTCTTCCTTTATGTTGTGAGTGTCAAGTATTTAATCACAGCTACAGGAAAGTAATTACTTATGAAATGGTCTTGTGACTAAGATACAGGCATGGCCTCTCCAACTTGGCCCAGCTTTGCTCTTCTCTCCCCTCAGGGCACTGACACGGTGACTTACTAACACATAGAGCATTACAGGACAGTTACACATAGATAGAAGTTTGACTGTATATAGCATAAACATACTCTCCTTACTGTTCATCCTCCTCGGAGGATGGTTCATTTCCTAGGATTTCACTTGTTTAATATGGCCAGGGCTCAGGGCACATAGCAGTAAATGCTTTGAGAGGATGCACAGAAGTGATGGCTGCATCTCTGTCTCATGGTGATAGTAAATGTATTGTCCACCCAAGGAATAAATGATAATTCATACCCAGCCTATATTTTTCTATATTTACTCTGTTCTACACTATAGGGAGTGTTGGACTCTTGTTTTTACTGTTCAGTTCTCCTTTCCTATGTATAGATGTTTTTCCTTTATTCAGATAGTATAGGTGGCCCTTCCTTCTCTTATAGTCACAAATAAAAAGCCACATGGTGATGAAGTAAAATAGCCATTTTCAATTGTTCCCCAAGCTCCAAGTACATATATAGTACGAAACAAGGAAAATGCACTGACGGCAAAGTGCTTGGGAGTTAGCGAACCTAGGCGGGCTGGTTGAGTGTACCCTGAAGGAGGATCCTAAGTCTTGCTGGATATGAGCACAGAATATGGAAGATTTAGTCAACGCTTGTTAAGAAATTGATGTTTCAGGAAAGTGTTAGAAAGGCTGTCAGGAAAGAGGGAAGCAAAAAAAGTGCAAGCCTCATCAGCAATGCTTTTGAAGGGAACCTATGGAAGCATAGAGCCTAAATACGTGTAAGTAATATCTTGTAGAGTGGCTTTAGAACTAAGGCAGGTAAGACTCTGAGGTCTTAGGAATGCGTCCCCAAGGCACCTGCAGAAGCTGGAGAGGTGGCTTCCACGCTTCGTGAGGATGTGACATGTGCACTACAGAACATCATCTAGAAGGCACAACCGGGGAGAGTCAGGCTCCTGGCCTTGGAGGGACCATTAGTGACATCAACATACTACAATTCCGGGATGAACACAGATGGCCACAAACATCAGGAAAGTCCAGCGTATTTATGGAGCCCTTGTCAAAAGCAACTGATCTGTGATCACAGCCAACAACTTTAAACACTACTTGTAAGCAGAAGACCCTGTTTCCTATTTCAGGTGGGGCAGAGGACAAATCTTCTAATGTTGGGAAAATTTGTTTTCAAAAGTTGCACAAACTTTGGTTGATGTACCAAATAGGTTCAGGCAACAACTGACAAAACTAAACTCCCAGTTTTTATTTTTTATTTTTTTGGTACTGGGAATCAAACTCTAGGACCTCGTGCTTGCCAGGCAAGAGCTGTGCTACTGAGCTACATCCTCAGCCCTAAGCTCCTATTTTTTAATTGCCAAGTTTTTCTAGAAGACATCATCATTTTCCTATGTATCTGACCCTTGGGAGCTGTCGTTTTCCCTCAAGGAAAGACATTAGAGCTATGTGGTTCGCATATAAACAAATATAAACTAAAAACAACAGCATTGTCTTTTCTAATGGGACTAGCATTAGTTGAGAGAGCTAGATATTTAGATGTTTGTGGCCTAGTGCTTATTGAATGTACTGATTTCCTTGTCTTCATGAACATCTGTCCATATCCTCGCTAGGTCTTGGAGAACTATGCCACTCTTGGTAACCTGGTTCCATTTTCTAACATTTGCTTATGTTGCTTCAGGAATGGTGATAAGCGCTGGGCAGAGATCCACCTGTCACTGGGACTGCTCAAGCAAGTGACACAGGTTATTATACCACCTGCTCTAGGAGGTTGGACCAGGTGGCCTTCAGGGTCATTGAGTTGAGTCATGACCCACACCTGTATCCTGGACATAAAAGAAGAAGGCAGTGCTCTCAGACTGTGTGAAGCTAGAACGCTCATCTTGATCTTTCCAGACAAGAAAGGAAGCTGCTCTAGGCATCATTTCTAGCAACTCGCATTGAATGTCTGGGATGGTTAGGCATACCTTGACAGGTTGGTAATCTCCAAGCAGGAACAATGGGCCCATGTCAATATCTGGGTCTTTGGGGTAGATGTTTGGCTTTACGTGATGTTGGAAGTGTCGGTAATTCCACCAGTTTGCAGACAGTCCCTAAGAGGAAGAGAGGAATGATTAGCTAAAACAATTCACTCCCCAAATACCCATCACTGTCAGAGCTTTCTGCATGTCTCCTCAAAAGTCAAGATACTGAGTTTCTCGACCTTGTCCCTCTGCTGGCCCAGAAAGTGACTCACTGGACAAGGGCTCTAGTAGCTTATGAAGAAATAATCCTCAGATGCAGCAACAGAGCTTCAGGCTAAAGTAACTCCTGATAAGGAAAATGTGAAAACCGGGTGGAAAGAATTTTTTCTCCATTCTTCTCTTGTTTGATCTTCATTTTAAAGCATTTTGGAAGTAGGTGGAGCAGAGAGTATTATTTCTGTTTTACATATAAAGAACCCTCAGCTCCAAGACTTTAATTAGTTCTGGGAAAAGCGGCCCCAGGTATCCTACTTCAATGAATATTTCAAAGAATCATGAATCTGGAGTGATCTCCAGGGGTGTGTGTGGGGCTTGGTTAAGATCATTGCACGTCTCAGCATCACTGTTCTCTATAAAATACTTTAGCTGATGCTAAGCTTGAGTCACCTCTGAATAGCTTGTGATATTTTTCCTCTCTCACACTGAAAATTTGAAGGTTTTAATAGAGGAACTGGTTTGGAGTACATCAATCTACTTTCACAGGCTACGGGCTGCAGTGCTGCAGTGCGGTTTGGTAAAAGGTGAAAGATTTATGTGATCTGAAGAGAAACTAGAGTATTGCAGTGTGGTTTGGGAAAATCACCCACCTCCTGGAAGCTCAATTCCATCTCCAAGAAATGCACTGTTACGATATTTATCTTCACGGGTGCCTCAGGGAGATAGGACATGCTGTATGTAGAATGTTGGTGCATTGAGATGTCTGCTTTGTACTCATGTATGTTAATCATTTACAGAAAAATAAGCAGAAGCAGTAGTTTCCTTACTGTGTATTTGCCATCCTTCAAGAACTAGTCTATACATGTCCTAGACCTGTATTGGCTAATGTAGTAGCCACTGACTGCAGGTGACTAGTTGAACAGGCTGTAAGAGTGAATTGCACACTAGGTGCTGAAAATTCAGTATGGAAAAGGAAATAAAAACATACCTTGAATAATTTTTATGCTGATTACATCTTGAGATAATATTTTGAATGTGTAGAGGGTAATATACATTTTCTGTTGCTATATCCAGGGGTTATTTGTTCATAAACTATAAGATCTCTTATCCAATGAGTCATACTCTGGGCCTTTTGAATATGATTGTTAGAAAACGTAAAATGGCCTGTTATACTAATGTGGCTAGTGTTATATTTATGCTGAAGAATGCTGCTCTAGGTACCATGTGTCTGTGGTTGGAAGGAATAAGTGTTTTAAAGTTGTACGTGTCCGTACCACCTTTTCATAGTCCCTAGAGTTATCAATCCCCTACCCATCCCCGATCACCTGGAGTGGAATTCTCTCACCTCTACACAAGCGAAGATTCTTATAGTAGAATTTCTTCCTTTAGCGCTAATCTCTCTCTTGATCACATGCGTGAATGGGAAGCCACTTTCCAAGCAACTTCCTTTTGGGTATCTCACAATATCTCAGTCCTCAGATTGGATTCATCAATTTCCACCCCTCTCTCAGGGGCCCATTGTCCTCTGTATTTCTCCCATCAAATCGCACCTGACTCATCACACATAGCATTGTACATGCGTTTGTCTATTTGCCCATTCTTTAGCTATTTTGAAGTATATCCCATGTGCCAAATACTGAGTTAAGCATTTGTGATGTCAAGATAGACATGATAGAATGGGGTTCTTGCACTTAGAAGCATATAATCTAATGGGAACAGCAGAGAATTAAACAAGAAGCGTGTGATAAGTGAGTCTTTTTTTAAATTAAGAACTGAGCCGGGTAAATTGGTGCACGCCTGTAATCCCAGCACTTGGGAAGTTGAGGCAGGAGGATTGTTCAGAGTTTGAGACCAGCTTGGGCTACAAAATGAGCTCAAGTCCAGCCTAAACTGTGAAGTGAGACTCTGTCTCAAAAAGACAAAAAAAAATTAAATTAAGAACTGACGTTTTTCTCCTCTTCTACGAGCTGACCGTACTTCGAGCAAAGGTGTATCTGTGATAATTGGTGATATGAGTTTTGAGTATTCCCAAAGTAAGCATGGGTGCAATCTAAACTGGAACCAGCTTCAGCTGGGCCCTCTGTCTAGAAGACACTTCTCTAAGACAAGGGAGAGGATGCTTCACAGCCAAGCCAGGATCATCATCTGTGTGCTGGCTGGTCACTCCTGTTCTATGCAGCAACAACCCTCAGCTGATCTCAGGCCAAAGTTAGTTCCTTTCTTAGTGCAGAAGGAAGAACATGGGTTTTAGACCAAAGTCAACCTGAACTTAAATCCACATTTGGTCATCTACTAGGAGTGTGATTTGGGCAGTTCCTCATGTGTGAGGTTTTCAAGATTATAGGAAGGAACGTTCTGGACGCTGCTGGTCCTCTACCACCAAAGGTTTTAGGGAGGTCTTAATTTCAAATACTCGGCTCCATGATCTGGATAGCTCCAGTTAATTTGTATTGTTTCAAAACTGGAGGATGAGGTTGGGGGTTGAAAAATATACTATGGGGAATTTATTCTGAGTTTAGTATAGTTCAGGTGTGTCTCATCGGAAGCTTGGGACTACAACAGTTTTACATTGCAAATATCTTTGGATTTCAAAATATTTGCATAACAAAATGAAATGTTATGGAGAGGAACCACATGTCTAAATATGGAATTTATTTATGTTTCATATGCACCCTCTCCATATAGCAGAAATTAATTTTACATATTTTAAATAATTCTTTTGCATGAAACAAAGTCTTGGAGTGTGGAATTTTCCATTTGTGACTTCGTGTTGATTCTCAAAAACTGGGGGATTTTGGAGCAATTAGGATTTTAGATTTTCAAATTAGGAATGCTTCAAAAGTCCAAAATGTTTTGTTTCATCTGTGCTTTTTTTTTTTTAAATCATATTTATACTGCAAAGACCAGAATGTACTTATCTTTTTATAGCTAGTGACTGAAAATCCCAAAGAATTTCACTAGAATCTGTACCTTTCCTGGAGTGAGGGGAAGGTTTAAGTCAAGGTTTGGAATTTTAATTTGTGCTGCATGTGAAAGTCGGGGTGTTGCTGCTTCTCCTTTCCTTTGTCAGCACCTTCCTGCCCCCTTCTTTCCCACCACAGGTAATTTTCTCTTCCTCACAGAGCTGAAGCCTGTATTCATTTTGTTCATGAATCACAGGCTCTGATTGCTAAACGTCAGAGGACTTCGGCTTTGCTTTGAGAGCATCTCACATTTTCTCATCTGCTCAGAAGTCACCGAAGTTATTTAGACTCATTTCAGCTGCAGCAAAACTGTTTCTGGGGACTCTGGAGAGAAAGAGCCGTGCTCAGATTTAGGCTCATGGGAAAGCTCTGATTTTCATACATGCCAGCCAGGGTGGAGCTGACTGGAGATATGCCACACACTGGTACCAGATCGACTGCCAGCGACATGTAGGGCAGATGACTCCTTTCCCTCTGACTCCTCAGCGTGGAAGGCTGCCTCTGCTTTCACCCCATGGGAATATTTCAGAGTCCACCCCTTCACCTCCAGTGAGGGTACACAGAGGGTGGACTAGCATGTCTGCAGGGACTGTCTGATTAAGAGGAACCTGTCCTATGAAATGTCAGTTTATTATTCATTCTCACCACTCTGAGGGACAATCTATCTCTCATGGGCATCCAGACTCCAATGCTGTGCTGTTTTACTCCTTTCTCCAGTCTGCTCAACAGAAAAGGCAGCAGGCAAGAGTAGGTGGCTAAGTATCTCGCAAGTCAACGATGCTGCAATTTGTGCTCTCATTCCTGTGTCCTTAACACCAACATGGTTAAACATTTTTCCTAATGATTCTTGATCCTCCTTTTGATTAGCAAAAGGCTGTGGGTAATACTCGTAACAGTTGGCAACTGCTAAGCATTTCCAGGCGCTGTGTTACCTGTGACACGTGGGATTGCTTACACAGAGTCCTAGCACCAACCCTACAGGCAGCAGCCATCACTCGTCAACCCTCATTCGACAGCTGAAGCAACTGGAGTTCAAACACATTTAGGAGCCTGTTCAAAGTGGCCCAGCGAAGGAGTGGCTGAGCTCGCATGGAAGGCAGCTGTGTCGTGGAGCAGCACCGCTCAGCCCTGGCTGCAGGGGCTTCACCCTCGAGCTTTCACAAACATGCCAACGCCCAGATCTCATCAGAGAGGGACTGCTTCAGAGCATGGGTGATGGAGCTGGGCAATGGTGTTTGTGTCAACTTCACGGGTGCCTCCCAGTGACAGCCGGAATGACACCTGCGCTGTTTAACCCAGAGCTCTGAGCTCTCCATTTAGCAGTTCGCAGATCCTGGCTTCGATAGTGAGCCACTTTGAAGATTCATCACCACTAAAAAGATGGGTGCTATAATTCCCTCCCTGTGAAATTACGTGAGCCTGAGGGGATGGTTCCTACCAGCACTCGGCGGGCCCTCAGCTGATGGGAGTTCCTGGCTGTCCTTCCTCTCCGTCATCTGCTGTCAGTGGTTCTGGCTCCCCCGGCTGTGGGCGAGGCTCCCACATTCTCCTCGCCCTGTCATTAGTTCTGCACTTCCGAGCTGCTATAGACTGGGGAACCAAATAACCACTTGTTCTTTGTGTCTGTTTTTAATAATAGACAAGCCCTCTGTGTTAAGGGAGAACAAAGGAGCTCTGAGACAGTGCCCATGAGCTTTTCCTTGAGTGGAAGGATGTGCTTTCATGGATGGCTCAGAGGCGTGGGCCGGAGCGCATAGCCATACATCCTCGAAAGTGAAAGAAGAGTAGATGTTTTGCTTAACTCCTAATATCGCAGGTGGTGATACGGAAAGGCAGAGATGAAACACGGTGTACTCAAGACCACACGGTGAGCAGTGTCAGAGCCAGGCCTTGAAGCTGTTCCTAACCTCCTGTACCTCACCCTGGCTCATTCATTCCTTCACACACTCATTCAGTCAACACACGAGGATCGAAGGCCTAAGGCGTGCCCGGAGCTCTCCTGGGAGCCACACAGACAGCGTGCCTGCCTCTTGGCGCTCCTGTGAAGAGGGTCAGACCAGCTGCCACCGTCACTGCTTCCTTCCTCCAGAAGTCTGGGGTTTGCAGCCTGTCTCTTACTTAGAGACGTGTGGCCTGTTAGCTCTCCTTATTTTTATCTGTTCTTCTGCGTCTGCTCCTTTATTTCTCCAGCCTTATCCTTCCGAACCTCACCTTCCCAGACAAACTGGACTCCCCAGCCAAAAGGCACACCCTCTAACAATATTCCCATCTGCGGTTTGGCAGTGCACATCTTCCTGATAAAATAAGGCACATACTTTTTTCTGTGAGGTGGTTCCTGAGGGCATTGGTGGTGCCAGGAATTGCACCAAATAGTCTATCAGGTTAATGAAAAATGGAAGTGCTTTTAAATAAGAAGAAACATTTTCCTCATTAAAATTTAAAATTCTGACTTAGCACATACTTTGTGATGTCATTTGACATGTTAGTGCGTATAATCCCCATCATCAGTGCCTTTACATTTATTTGTGGGGGAGTCAGAAACGCATGTTACTGATTGGAGCACAGAGATACAGACACCCCTGTCTCAGGAAGTGATGCTTAGCACCCCACCACCGACATCCTGTACCTTGAGGTGGCACATCACAAATTTGTGCATCAGATGGTTCCACTTGGACTTCTTAAATATGGAAAGGTGTCCTATGTCATGCTGCAAAAATGAGCTCTGAGCCTAGGGGAGACAAAGTTGGTGAGAAACTGGAAGCCGAGGAGAAATCCACAAGCTCTTTAGTGGATCTGAGCCTGTGGGAGAACAGCTCAAGGCTTCATCTACCCTCTGTGCATCTGCCCAAATCTTCCAGTGCAGACTGCACAATCCACAGACTTTGGAGTCAGACAGATTTAGGGTCTCTGCCAGTTGCACACAGCTGCACCACTCTGGCAAGTTGCTCAGTAGCCCAAACCCCGAGTCACTTATTTGCTGCATGCAGATAATAGCACAGATTCCTGGGGCTTTCATGCAGTTTACATAGTGCAAGGTGCCCAGGGCATGCTAAACATTAAACACAGGGTTTTTCCTTCCCAGTTTACAAAAATTGCTTTTCAAAGAATAAAGCAAGTTGGCTTTTCAAGAAAAAAAAAATGACATTAAAATTCTGGAATGTAGAAACACATTGGTGTTAGTTCTCTATAAAACCTTCCCCAGTTGTTCCAAGGAGAATTAAATGCCCCTTTCTGTTCCAACAGAAGCATATGCTTTTCCAGCCTGTCAGCTGTCACCCTATTCTGCCTCACAGGCTGCTCAGCCTAGTGACTCTCTTTTCCTGGGTGACTCCTTTTCCATACCTACGGTGTATGTGAGGTTCCTTCAGATCTGCAGCACAGCCTTGTGCTCATAGCAGCTACGGTGGTAGAGAGCCATATTTTATTAGACAAGGATTTTCCAGTGCTTTGCTAAGCACCAGTTACTATTTGTCATTTGCAAAGGAATGCATATGCTTGTGTTCTTGTGTATTAAGATGCAGCCTCTGTCCTTGAAGAACTTACGGTTTAACTCCTTGGTAAATATTAGTAGGGTCAAAAATGAATGAAACGGATGAGTAGCATGCAGCTAAGGCAGAACTTTAGTGCATGAAATTGTAGGAATAAAACAGGGTGAAGAAAGGCAGCTGCCGTGAGTGAAACCCCGTACCACATATCAGGCATGGTGCTAGCATGTTTAGTATGTATAGTTCAGAATAATCCTATGTTTATTAGTATCTTCATTTTAGAGATGAAAGAACTAGGGCCCAGGTAAGTTTAGTAATGTGCTGATAAGTGCCTGGCCCCGCCTATTAACAAGCGTCAGACAGCTGCTAACTCTGATCTAAAGAGAGAACAAACATTACCCAGCCTTTCCCTGGGGCCATAGCCTGGTTTAGGGTAGTTGTTTACCTGTGAAACTGTGAGAAGAAAGGAAACCAAGATTGTAACAGTCCAGCCATTGCCAAAATGACACAGGACGAGCCAGGCCAGGACTTCTAAAATCAAGATTTGGGCGAGGTGGAGAGAGAAGAACCCCGGGTGGGCGTCAAACATGTTCATAGCCTCTAGCGTCCTGCGAAGTTCTTGAAAATCTTCCACCAGCTGGGGCTGCAAAGGGAGTATTCAAGGGTGGTGAGGGGAAAGGGACACAATGAACCCCAGGAGCAATTCATTTTATTAACTTAGCCATGAAATTTAATCAATATAATTTAATGAATATGAACAGATTTAACTGTGCAGAATTCAAAACAAAAAATAAAAAAGTGAAACCTTTGAAAAAAGGTGATGAGTTTTTGCTTTTGTTTTGTTTTGTTTTTGAGAAGGATGAGTAGGGGGTTGTAAACTCTTCTCTAACTCTTAGGGAACTCTGTGGAGAGTGGTTGTTTTGGGGGAGAGGGCTCATTCCATAGGTGCCTAAGCTTAACAGTGGCCTTTCAAACCATCGGTTCAGGCACTGGCTCAGCTTTGGTTATGTGTCATTTGCACAGTGCGTTGCTGGTCCTTAGCTGTTGCACGTGTCCAGAGGACCGTTTCAGAGAATGGTGAGTGGAACAACGCAGACCCCTTAGATTAGCTCTAAAGACAGGTTTCATGGAGAGCTTCGCAGTGGATTCCAAGAAATGACAAGAGTGCTACTGGCATTAATACATGTTGGCTGGTCAGGATGGCCCCGCATAAGTATGCCGCGTGTATGTGTGTTTATGGACAACCCTCACTTTGCTTTGCAAACTCGCTTCACCCCTGCAAGGGAGGAGAAAAGTGTCATCTGCCTGAATGACCACCATGGGTGTGAAACCAGGACAGCTAAGAAAATGACCAGGCTGTGATAAACAGCGCTGTACCCTTGGACAAAAGAGAAAAACTGGGACCAGAAAAGGGTTAGGAAGGCAATGCCAGGAGGCAGATTTTTCTTTTAAGGTTTTGCTGATACAATTTTATTTTATTTTATTTTATTTTTTTTTGGTTTTTCTCTGGTACCGGGAACCGAACTCACGACCTTGCACTTGCCAGGCAGGAACTTTTGCCGCTGAGCTAAATCCCCAGCCCCGCTGATACAATTTTAAAAGGAACCACTAGTCACCGGAAGTTTGGATTGGCTGTTCTCTGTTGGAATTCTGGAGGCCAGAGATGATTTTAATGATTGCTTGATATTAGTCAGTCATCTCCTGAGTTTCTCCCAGCCTGGCTATCTTTCCCAACCCACTGACTGTACAAGAGTGAAAGGTCACTGCAACCCGACAGGGTGACTGGCTTGAACAGTCAGCAGGGCCGTGACTGATGCCGGACTTCAGCCCGCTCCTCCTGATACCATTTCACGCCCCAATTTTCCCTAGACAGCAACCTGAATGCATTCAGGTACAAAAGAACATTTGCGGTAGGTGTTTATCTTTGGAGACCAACAGTATGTCAAGTAAAGATTATCACACAGTTCTCCAGCATTAGTAGGATTTTCTTGCAGAACCTTTTTAGGAATATTGGTTGACCTTTGCATCATTTTTTCCTGTTAGTCTAGGGTCACCTTCCCCAAATAATGGGGCCGTACCTAGAGGCTTTTAAGTTACTAGTATCACTGTTGGGGTCATGATAGTGATAATGTCTAAACTTTATTGAGCATTGACTATGTTCTAAATACTTGAAATGATTTCTTCTTTCTTTTTTTATCACCTTCTCAGTAACTCTTACGAGAGTGGTGCTATTGTCGTTGTCTTACCCAGAGAGAAACTGAGACACAGATAGATGTAGGAACTGGCCTAAACCTGTACAATTTTAGAGTGGGAAGGCTGGGGTATGATTTTCAGCCATCCATCCTCAGAACCCAACCACCTAAGCAGAGCAGTGTGGATGAACTCGGGGCTTTGGAGCGAGCGTGTCATTCTCAGACATGGACAGAGCCAGTTCTGAGTCTCTGGGTTAGTCCTGCTCTTCATACTCCCTCAGGGAGCCTGACTGTTCATTTCTTACAGAGTGAAGAAAGTCCTTACTCTATTTCACAGTGATATGTGGGTCAACACTCTGTGCAAATTACTTCAAAGAAACTAAGAAGCAGAAAATATAAGTTCTTGTAAAAATAACTTGTAAAAAATGGAATTGTTAACCATGAAGTAAAAGCCCTTTAAGGTTTACATAAAACCAAACAAGTGAATTTTTAGTCTGATGGAGACCCTGTCCTCTAGAAGACAGTAATTCATGTAGCCCAAATAGTAAAGAAAGATTGGCATCCATCTGGGGCCTAGAGAGAGGTAATTCAGAGTTATATTGCCTTGGTAAACCAGCTGTGGGAACTTCAGAAAGTAATTTATTCTCCAGGAATGATAATGCTTCCAAGTGCGAAAAGAACACTAGTTAGTATATAATTACATCTTTCATTCAGTAATGATTTATAGGTTTCTTATTGCATGTCTCATCTCAGTCTGCAGGACACAGGGTGAGCAAGAGAGACGTGTTCTCTGCTTTCATGGAGCTTAATTTAGCAAGGAACATAGGTGCAGATGACAAACATGTAATTGCCAGGAATCATTAAAAAATATATGTCTGCCACCTGGCATGAAGTAGGTGTTCAGAGATGTAGAATTCCCATGGAACATGGGGCAAAAATCTCCATTCATTTGTCTCACAGAGGTTTGAGACTCCTGAGGATCTAAATACAGCATTGCTTGGAAAGGTGTAGAATCCATTCAGCTATACAGTGGCTTAAGGTCCCCTGAGTCCATGGTTTTACTTGCCACAGTTTCAGTTACCTTCAGTCAGTTTGGTCCAAAAAATATTAAATAGAAAATTTTCAGAAAGAAGCAACTGCTCAGCTTTGAATCAGGCACCATTCTGGGTAACATGATGAAGTCTCCCACCACCTTCTTGTTTTGTCCTGCTTAGGGTGGGGATCATCCCTTTGTCCATGTATGCACACTGTGTACACTACCTGGATGTTATTCCACAACTGAAACTATGGGAACAAAACCATGGATAAATGAGAACTACTGTAAGGGAGTAGATTCTACAGACACCAAAACAATGCTATCCTCTTTAGATCTCTGTCTTGGTCATCATCAGTTCTCATAGCACCGTATTGCTTATACATAGGATTCAGTACCACCTACAATTCCAACCACCTACTGAGAGTCTTGGAATATATTCCTTGGAAGGAAGAGGAAAGTGCTATCCTCTTTTGTGAGTTCACCCAGGCATGACAGCCATTTTGTCTATAAAAAGTAATAAATCTGCCCCTCGATATACTGTGTCCCCAGGCTTCCACACACTTGGATCCTGAGATTTTACTTACGTTTTTGTTTCTCTCCTGGCTGGGCTCTCCTGGGGCGAGCTCTCCAATGAGCAGTGGCTTAAGGTACAGCTTCACGATGTCCAGGTCCAGGTGCATGGCCCTGAAGACATCCTGTTGATCAGAGTGCTCAGTTAGAAGTTCGGGGGAGACAGATTATGAACAGATAGGCTTTCATTCATCTTCACATACTCAATCTGGGAACTAGCACAGACTCTACTGCAGAGGAGTTGCTTCTGAGTCCAGAGGAGTTGCTTCTGAGTCCACTTCCTGCATGACCTGACCAATACAGCCAGGCTCCCCTGGACCATTGTTGTCACTGTTTATCTTACTGAGCACCACAAGAGGTATTTGTTGTGGTTTACTGGCTATGAGGAATCTTTAAAGACCAGCATGGGTTTTGTTTGGCCATTGCTTACACTCCTTAAGGTGTAGAGTCACCAAGATTGGCTATGAAATCACACCTTCTGTTGAGGGTTCCATCTTAGTTTGGTGTTTGGCCAAAGCCCAGAAGAATTGGGCCCCATGAATTAGTTACTTCTGGAGAAGGATGGATAACTTTGGTGACAATGGCTTAAGAGAAAGACACACGGGATCGTGGGAGCACAGTATAAGAGGCCTGAGTTGTGTAGAGTACTGCTCTCTTGGCTAAGTTTGTTCCTGAAGGACTCTCATCACTCTGTACAGATGTTATTGCTAAGTAACCATTTCAAGTGGCTATGAGAAGTGGAAGGGCTCCTATATCCTGCTCTGTTTAGAAACAAGAGAGCCTTCTTATTTCTGAGAGTTCCTCCTCAGTATTTATACAGGTTTGAGGAACAAGGATTCTACAAGAGAGAGATTCTGGACTCCTGTAATTATGGCTTTGAGGTGAAAGTGGTTAAAAGTAAAGAAATAGAGTTGTAACTTGAGTACATGGAAGCCCATACAAGTATTCTGGAGTAGCATCACTGCACAACCCGAATTTGGAAAGCAGACCTTGAAGCCAACCTTCCCACACCTAAAGTTTAGCTTTTACCAGCTGTGTCCTCTGAGCTCTTCTCTAAACAAGGTTAACAATTACTACTGTACTTATAAAGCTATTATGAGGGTTAAATGAATTAATTACAGTGATGGTTGACATATACAAAATTTATAGTACTTATTATCTGTCTTTTTTATATGCATACCTTTAATGGTGTGAGCTTCCTATTTTCTCTTTCATATTTTCTCTTTCTGATGCAGAGTAACCTCCGAATGATGCTAAGGAATATAATGAAACTTACAGTTTCAAATCCTGAAGCAACTTTGGATGTATTCAAGAATTATATGTGAGTCTACTGGTAGAAAGTGCTTATATAGTGACTAAGGGAATCAGAAGAGCTCAGTCTCAACTCTAGACTCACGTACCTGCAGGTCTATAGATGACATCCTATAAAAAGAGCTTTCACCTGCTAGAACCTGTCTGGCTTTACTGACCATTGTGCTTCTGCACAATTCTTCCCACACCCTTGGCAAATTATGAGCCATAGAAGTGCCAAAGATGTTTTTAAACATACAATCCTAAAGTTTAGTTCCCCTTAACAGGGAAAGAATGATTTAGTGAGTAAGAAAGTGATTGATGTGTCTCATGATGACCCATACAAAAAGTGTTATGATGTGCTTGCTATTTGAGAGAAGTTTAGGGTAGAAAACATCCCGGTGCACCAAGGACAAGGTGCAGAGCAATGACTCTAGTGGAATTTCACTTCTGAGTATGCTGGTAATAGCAGCCTTCTGAGATCATCGTTTCATCCTATTCCAGGAAAGTTCCCTGGTCAGTACTGTGACCACAGAGGCTGAAAAGCTAGAGTTCCCCAGAATAGTGGGCACTGACAACTATGTGGAAACTTGTCATTGCCTTAATGGGACATAACAATAAAAGAGTTCAGTAAGTCCTATATAGTCAAGACTTTCCAATAGAATTCAGAAAGTGAGTTGTGAAATTCCTTCTCGAAAGTCCACAAAACAGGTTCTGTCACCAGCATTCTTGGGCAAGTACATTCCTGTTGGGAGAAGGGGGGTGGTAAAAATGAAGACAAGAGGGTAGAGCCAGTGTTTGCAGAGTTGATCCCCTACACCAGGCTCTCTGTGGGCTAAGCCCTAGCTGTTGCCTGAATTCTGCCACGGTCTATCTCTTCTGCTGTCCAGATATCAAGTCTTAGAGGGGAGACGCATTTTCCTTCAAAATTCCACAGTCAGTAGTGCCGCCAGGATTGGAACCGAGGGCTGTGTGACTCTAAAGCAATGAAACCGGAAGTGCTCTGCTGCTTTGACATGTATTTCTTTTTCTGACAGATGTGATGGTGGATTGTTTGGAGATGGTAAGGATGTCTCCCACCTTGGTTTTAACAATGCAAAGCACTTCAGTGCTAGCTCAGATCAGTCCACACCTTTGCTACACCACCTCCTGCACTGGAATCTCCTCATTCAGTAACCATTCTCTGCCTCTTTCTGGGTCTGAGGTTTCCCATGTGCAGCTCCGTTTGCCTTGACTGCCTTCTTCCACTTGCTGCACATAAAAGTTCCTTCTAATCCTTAAGACCATACTGAGGACAGCCTCCCCCAACTCACTCAGGAAAGTTGTTCATGATTGACACCTGGCACCCAGGACCCATCATTCCCAGAGCTTCTCCATTATGTTGTAATGAACTGGTCTCTTTAGAGAGGTGAGAGCTGTTGAAGGCTGGGACTATGTACTGTGGTGAACCGGAATCTACCCAACCTCTGTCACAGGGTTCGGGCCATGGCAAGGGATGAATGCATGCCTGGGAAGTAAGGGAAAGCGGCAATGAACAGACAGAGCCAGGAAGTCTGCCCGAAGGAGCTGGGGAGCACACTGCTCGCTCAGAAGATGCGGGTGTTAAGTGCTGTTGTCTTTTTTCCTATCCTCAGCATCTCTATGCCCTGAAGCTGTTGCCACTTCTGCAGCTCCTATTTTAATTTCTCAGCCTTTAACTCCTTTCAAAATCATCATGTTCATTCCTTAACTTATTCATAAAGTTATTCATAAATATTTCAGAGTTCATCTAGAAGCTGGCTGTTTTCCACAATAGTAATCAACACGGGAAAGATGTCATTATTACTTTGATTTCACCAATGCCTTAAAAATGCTGCTACTTCTGTGGTTATTTAGTGGGAAATAAAGTGATGGGCTTCACTGCTGGGCTGTAGAATCCCTGGTGAGAGGTAAGCATGAGAAGTCAGAGGGCCTGGGAAAGGCCCTGTTTTTGCAACTTACGTGCTATAGGCAGGTTGGGCCCTGCACAGCCAGAGGGCAAGTGTGGCCTGGGCTCCCTCAGACATTCCCCTGGCAAACCCTGTGCCCGAGGGGTGACAAGCACCCCGGAGCAGGTCTTTTGAAATTCATTTCAAGGACACATCTACTTCTTCCTCTGAGAAGTGTCTGCTCATCTCAGGTACCCATTTTTGGGTTGGGTCTTTACATTAGGGGGTTCTGATTCTTTTTTCAGTTCTTTATATATGCTAGATAATAGTCTTTTGTTTGAGAAATAGCTGGAAACACTTTTTGCCCACTCTGTGGGTTGTCTTTTCGCTCTGTTGATGATTTCCTTTGCTGTGCAAAGAGCTTTTTAATGACATGGATCCCAGCTGTTGATGCTTTGCGATATTTCTTGTATAACTAGGGTTTCATTCATAAAGCCTTTGCCTACACTTATGTCTTCAAGAATTTTACTATTCTCTCTTTCAGCAGATTTAGTGTTTCTATTTTAGTATTTAGATCTTTGATGAGGAAGTACAAATGGCAAATAAATATATGAAAAACTTTAACATCACTGGTCACTAGAGAGATGCAAATAAAAACAACACTAAGATTCCATCTCAACACAGAAAGAATGACTATCATCCAGTAATCAACCAATAACAAATGCTGGCAGGGCTGTGGGTAAAAAGGAACCCTTGTCCACTGCTGGTGGGAGTGTAGACTGGTGCAGCCACTGTGGAAATCACTGTGGAGATTCCTCACAAACTAAAACTAGAGGTATCGGGGCTGGGGATTTAGCTCAGCGGCAAAAGCGCCTGCCTCGCAAGCGCAAGGTCGTGAGTTCGGTTCCCGGTACCGGAGAAAAACCAAAACCAAAACCAAAAAAAAAAAAAAACAAACTAGAGGTATCATTTGACCCAGCTATCCCTTTCTTGGTATCTTCCAAAAAGAATTAAAAGCATCATACTACATCAATATATGCACACCCATGTCTATAGCACCACAGTTTGCAATAGTTAAATCTTGGAAACAACCCAAATGCCCATCAACTGATGAATGGATAAAGGAGATACAGTTTTTTTTTTTTTTTAGTATAATGGAGTACTATTCAGTCATAAAGAAGGATAAACTTGGGACATTTCTAGATAAATTCACCTTGAAATCATACTCTTAAGTGAAATAAATCTAACACACTTGTAAATACTGCATTGCTTCTCTGTTGTGAGAAACTGAAAGTGTAAATAAGGACCAAAATATATGACAGATATTGTGAAATAGGAAAAAAAAATGTTCAAATGGGAAGAGGGACTAAGGAGAGAGAATGGGGAAAGAAAAGAAAGGAAAAGAAAAAATGAGGAAAAAAGGGTGAAATGGAAACAAAACGTTGTGAATAGGATGGGGAAGGGGTTCAGTGGAAGGAGGGGAAAATGGGGAAAAGAAGAAGAATTTAGACATTCTCTATGCACAGGTACAAATTCCTTATGATCGATGTGATCATTATGTACACCTAAAATGTACCAATAAACTTAATTAATAAAAAAATTCACACCATGGCATGGTAGAGGTTAGCAGAAGACAAGGCTCTATTTCATATTGGGAGAATCACTCAATTTCTCTGAGCCTGACTTTCTTCTGTATGTAGATAATACTACCTTGTCTTCCTGTGAACTCATTAATCCTTTCATTTCTTCAGTCATTCTGAAACCCACTGAGGTCCCAGCCTAATCACTCAGGGCTTAGGCTTTGGAATTAGAAATCAATCGGTTCTAATACTGTTACTTATTTCACTGACGGGTTGAAATTTCCCAAAGAAGTAGGCTAAGCAAGAACACTACATTTACAAAAACAAAACACCAGTGGAGAATGCATG